CATGACTTAGGATTCATCATCCATAATGGTAATAAATTCAGTGGTGAAAAAAGTAAGGTTCTACATTTAGGCAAGAAAAACCAAATGCACAGATATAGTATAGGGGGTACCTTGCTCAATAGTAGCAACTGTGAGAGGGACCTCGGAGTCCTAGTGGACAATCACTTAAATATGAGCCAGCCGTGTGCTGCAGCTGCCAAAAAGGCCAACACAGTGCTAAGCTGCATTAACAGAGGGATAGAATCAAGATCACGTGAAGTATTAATACCATTTTACAAGGCCTTGGTAAGGCCACACTTGGAATACGGCATCCAGTTTTGGTCACCACGATGTAAAAAAGATGTTGAGACTCTAGAAAGAGTACAGAGAAGAGCAACAAAGAGGGACTGGAGGCTAAAGCATATAAGGAACGGCTGCTGGAATTGGCTATAGTTTAACGAAGAGAAGAACGAGGGGAGACATGACAGCAGTGTTCCAATATCTCAGGGGCTGCCCTAAAGAAGAGGTAGTCAAGCTATTCTCCAAAGCGTCTGAAGGCAGGACAAGAAGCAACGGATGGAAACTGACCAAGGAGAGAAGCAAGCTAGAACTAAGGAGAAACTTCCTGACAGTGAGAACAATTAACCAGTGGAACCACCTGCCTCCAGAAGCGGTGAATGCTCCAACACTGGAAGTTTTTAAGAAGAGACTGGACAGCCATTTGCCTGAAATGATATAGGGTTACCTGCCTGAGCAGGGGGTTGGACTAGATGACCTCCAAGGTCCCTTCCAACTTTATTATTGTTGTTGTTATACGCTGGACAATAAAAAATATTTTTAAAAATGCCATTCAAAACAAAAACATTCCTGTACAATGAACGGTTTGGATAACTAGGTATGTCTAGTTTAGGAGGACTAGGAATGATATGATAACTGTCATCTAGAACTTGAGGATTTGTCACAGAGAAGGTGGGGGGTCGATCTATTCTCCAAAGCGCCTGAAGGCAGGAGAAGAAGCAACGGATGGAAACTAATCAAGGAGAGAAGCAACCTAGAACTAAGGAGAAATTTCCTGACAGTGAGAACAATTAACCAGTGGAACTGCTTGCCTCCAGAAGTTGTGGGTGCTCCATCCCTGGAGAGTTTTAAGAAGAGATTGGACAGCCATTTGTCTGGAATGGGATAGGGTTCCCTGTTTGAGCAGGAGGTTGGACTAGATGTCCTCCAAGGTCTTTTCCAACCTTGGTATTCTATGTTAAATATCTTCCATAAGTTCAGTGGGAGATTTTCACCAGCCAGGAGGGTGTCCACCTTGTAGGTGCAGACCCATATATATGGCCCACATTTTTTTCCCGTGTCTAGGGCAACGTAAGTGTGGAAGCACCTAAAAGTAGTAGCAGATCAGGTCAGAGGAAAAACAAAAATTGACGAATGGCAGGCCAACGATTTTCATTCTGCTGCCTTTTTGCTTGACACATGTCCTTCGAGTAATCTTCCATGTTTGGCTGTGCAATCTCAAGATTTCCCCACGGTTCCAACAAATAAATAAATAAATACCAACTGAGCATTCTGAAATTGTGAGAACGTTAGACATTTACCAGATCTAAAATAAAATATCCCCTTTGGACTAGTAAATCAAATTTATGTATGAACGAGGATGGACTGGAATTTCTTTCTTTCTTTTTTTTTTTTTTTTTGCCTGAAATATTTACCTTTGGTTATTCCTCTTTTACCTTTGAACTCTCCCTGCAGATAGCAAAATTCCATCCTGCTGATAGTAGGTCAGTGCCTAAAATTTCATCACATCTCTTGTTAAACATAGCATAACCTTTAACCTCTGTTTGGCCACTACTGACACACAACTGTTTATGGAATTTTCCCAGAGTTATAATACAGAATAAGCATGTTTGAAATCAGTCAGACCCACTTAACTTCTACAGATTTTATTTAAAGATTTAAATATTGAAATGGTTAGCTAAAACTGTTCCTCATTGAACTTAAAGAGTTTCTCAATTTTTCTTTGTTCGACCCTTGAATTCTCATGTCTTAATTCCATCCTTGGTTGATTTGGATTTGTTAATCTACAAATGTTTGTCGTGATTTCATTTTCTACTGAAATGCGCTGAAAAAGGTTGGAAGTCAGTACCTTTTTTTTCCCCTTCCCTGTTCTCTTACACTTTTCTTTTCCCTTTCTTTCCATTCCCTACTTCCTTACTACCTTTATTTTCATTTGCAGGATACAGTACGATAATCTCAATAAATGTGTGGAAAAGGCAATAGAAGAGGGAGTGAGGGAGGTTGCAGAGTTTTCAGGATTTTGTCCAAGATTGGACAAAACTAATCAAGGAGAGAAGCAACCTAGAACTAAGGAGAGACTTCCTGAGAGTTAGAACAATTAACCAATGGAACTACCTGCCTCCAGAAGCGGTGAATGCTCCAACACTGGAAGTTTTTAAGAAGAGATTGGACAGCCATTTGTCTGAAATGGTGTAGGGTTCCTGCCTGAGCAGGGGGATGGACTAGATGACCTCCAAGATCCCTTCCAACTTTATTATTATTACTATTACTATTGCTATTACTATTATTACCTTTAAAAAAGTGCAACACTAGCAAAAGCGTTGAGAGCATCCTGGAAAACAGGGTTGGAGTCCTGGGCCAATTTCTGGACAATTCCTATTGGCTTTTGAAAGCCAATAGAATTAGACTCTATTCAAGAGAGTCTATTCTATTGGCTTTCAAAAGCCAATAGAATAAAAGGGAGTAGCACAGCTAAGGAAAAGGGGGGGAAAATGGCGGACTGTGTTGTTTGGCGACCCCCATAAAATGGTCGTTCGACCCCAAATGGGGTCCCGACCCACAGGTTGAGAACCACTGCTCTAAAAGGTTCGCCATCACTGTCCTATATAGTAATCAAATATTCTAGGTACCAATGTCTATGGAGATTCTCAATCATCCAGATCACGTTTGTCCCAGAGGTCATGTTCATCAATCGTCCCGTTCAGTCATCTAGCAAAGAAAAACTTCTGGCCATTTGTTTTTGCCAAGCGTATACTTTACTGAAGCTTAAATGGTGACAGAAGTAACGTAAGCTGAAGCTGACGTTTTCCCACGCAAACAACGCAAGGAAAGTTCCCAATGTTGCTCCCTTCGTCTTTTTCGCCTCCGTTTATGTAATGACTATAAAGCAGTTTTGAGAAAGGCCTGCTGGAAATCCTTAAACAATTTTTTTTCCCCTATGTTTTTTATTTATTTTCCATTACATTCACAGATTTGAAAAGTAGCGTGGCGGCTGAGCACAGTCGTTCCATTACATTTGAATATCATCAATACAAATCTCAAAGTATTACAACAAACTAATTCCCTCTTTTTCCCCCGTAATGTCTACTGTCTCATATTTGGACCAACACAGTTCTTGTTCTATCAGTGAAACAGAAAATACCTTTCCAGTATTCATCAATAATCTTCAGCCTATACATATCTTAATTGATTTGACATTCTTCCATCTTTTAGACAATAATTTAGTAAGTTTTTCTTAACTCTAATTTCCCATTGATGTTTAAATTTAACGTTTAATCTTTTTTCATTTCCAAATTTTAAATGACCCCAGTTTCTAAGTCTCCTACCTCGTATTTATTTGGGGCTAATAATAATAATATTTTTTCCTTCTTTCTATTTTTTTTATTTGCATGCTATTGTGTAGTGTGAATATAAAATACCATTACCGTAAATGCCGGCATACAAGGCGACCCGGCGTATAAGACGACCCCCGTCTTTATAGCCGGGCCGCATTCCTAGAACGTCGTCTTATACGCCGGAAACTACCAGTATTTCCGGCGTATAAGATGACTCGGCGTATAAGACGACCCCCGTCTTTGGCGCTGATTTCAGCGCTCGCGGAAGTCGCCTTATACGCCGGCATTTACGGTATTTCTGGGAATTCCCCCCCCCCCATTATTTCCTTTTTATATTTTATAGAAGCTGTTTACCAAAGCAGAATTTAAAAAAAAAAAAAAGTGTTTCCGATCGCCAAAAGTTCAGGAAATTTTGCGTGAACTAATGATGATGATTTAAATTACCTTAGGAGGATTGATATCTTGGTGTTTTTCCTTGGAAATATAGTTTTGTGTTTAGCTCTTGAAACGGAAGATCAAGTTCTTCAGTACAGTTGGGTGATGCCGTAATTTTCTGCAACTGGATTAAGTAAAAAAAAAATATATATGCATGGATATCTCATGGAGGTTTCTTCTCCAAAACAATTTTTATTAGTTTTCCATTTTACACCAACACAGCTTAAGAACCCACGTGGAAACATGGTGATCCATTTTTTAAAAACAAACAATAACATAGTAAATATATACCCATTATTTCTTAAAAATTTCCCTCTCTATTTATATAGAATATTATAATCAAATTAATACATTTTCAAATGAATTCATTCATTACTATGTCTAACCATCAACTGAATTAATCAATAAAAAAATTTTAATCTATAAAAACCTATATTTCTTCACATATTTAAACTTAAGTTTAATGAATTCCATTTATTTAAAAACATAATCAAGTCAATATCTTTCTAAAACCAATTCATTCACTGATATAACATTTCATCCAAGTTATATAATTAAAAATAAACTAACATTATCTATTTATATTGTTATAGGCTCATTAAAACATTTCTAAAACAAATTGTCATTGAATATATCACTGTATATAAATTTCATTAATCAATAAAAGTTTGCAAACTCATTATCCATCCCAAAGATCCTGTATCATGCTTTCTTAATTTTGCAAATATTTGATCTTAAACTAACATATTCATTTACTATTCAGGTGCCCCAAGTGTTTTTTTTTATTTAAGCATTATTAACTCATGGTGGTTTCTGAGGACATGGTGACCTCTAATGGTCAGATAAGCATCAACATTCAACATTTTGGCCTATATTGTATGCTACTGAACTACTTTAGAAAGCAACTGGAAATTGTTATTAAAATGGTTAACGGGCTTTTTGTATGTTTTCCAGTTCTTTGCAATAGAGATTTCTACCAGAGATGTTGGATTCATGACTTCCAAGCTCTACCAAAACATATTGTGCCATAATATTCCAAAACTGCTGATGCAAAAAAAAAAAAAAAAATCAACTTTTGGCACTTTGTAACACAACGCAAAGCTTGAAGATTCCAGCAAGGTGAAAAATGGTCTAAATCATTTCAACGGAGAAATCTAATTTGAAAATTTTCATCTCTGACTTTTTCTTGTTACAGTATTGAACAACAATGAACAATGAATATTTTGCCATTTTTAAAAACAACAAAGTTTCGATGTATCATTGTGTATACGTTTGAATAATGTCACTTTTTTCTTGGTCGATACCGATAGAGGTCGATGTTTTAGGAGGAGTTTTTGACAGTAAATTGGATAAAAAGGTAAAATGACCATTGAACTCTGTGGTGCTCTTCAGATTTTTTAAATGTAAAGTATAACATAAAATTAATTTTTAATTTTAATTAATTTTTAAATACAGAGAATGTGAACTCCAAGAGGAGTATAAATTCAGTGTTTTTAATCCCTTGATGAAATCGATTTTGAGTATTTTTATGAACATTTAAGATTGTGCGTTTCCCAAAACTCCATGGATGGAATGGGTTCCTTGAATATTTTATGATAGATTAGCACCACAATCCTCAAATGAATTGTCTGAAAAGCTATAAATGAATAAAGATTGTGTTTTAGGCACCATTTATAAAATGAAGTACTTGTGTACATTACACAATACATTTTCCCCATAATCAAAAACCCGCAAGGAAAGCAAAATGTCTAGAAAGCCTCAAATTCACATGTTCTTTGGTGCACCCCTTCTTTCAAGTGCTCCAAGGAACATTAAAGAAGAGAATGGTTCTTTGGCTAATGAGAAGCCATGGAGAGAATTACACCTTTCATTTACCAATGACACTTTTAACCTTTGTAGCACAGACTTCAGGTCTCTTGGCCATGAGACCGCAGATGATGCCGTTTTGGTTGTCAATTCCAAAGATCACTTCCCAGTAAACTTTGGGAAAAGAGGTGGCTCAGCTGATGCTTTTATGACCGATTGCGCAACATCTGTTGGATGTGTCAAATCCTTTGGCAATAAAAAGAAGGTCCTGTGTGAGTCACCTGACCCTAGTTCTGCCGGTTGCGATATTAGCAGAGGGAACCAGAAAAAGCATCCTGTGTCTCAACAAAGCAAAAAGGATTCTATCGAAGGAAGTGCTAGTTACATGATACGTAAACATCTTGATACTTCTCCCTCGGTGTTTGAGGCGAAGGACTTAAAAAAATGTGTGGTAGATAATCACAATCCATCTGGTCTTCAGTGTGAACCTCAAGGTGAAAATCTATTCCTGAAACAGTATCTGAAAAGATGTTCACAAAAAGCCGATGAATCAAAACCTGGAAGCCTGCTAGATGCACCTCAGGGTGAAAATCTATTCCTAAAGCAGTATCTGAAAAGATGTTCACAAAAAGCCGATGAATCAAAACCTGGAAGCCTTCTAGTTGCACCTTCAAATCTTGACATAACAACAGACAATGAATTCCTCAGTGTTCTGACTTTAAGCCAAGTCGCTCTCTGTTCAGGACAGTATGTTGTAGAACAGAATGAAATGCAAAATAAGTCTATAGCAGGGGAAGGAGTAGAATTGGCCCACCCTTGCAGGGAAGACGGAACAGATGGAGAACCTCTAGTTAAATTAAATGAAGATGGTGATATGGCTGCTAAGAAAGTTGACATAAACTGTGAAGCCAACTCTGATTGTTCAATTGAACTCTTTGATTCAGATAACTCAAGTCAAGATCCCCCAGATTTCAAAGGAAGTTGTCCTCTATCTTCACCTCTTAATAATGAAGGACAGGACCTTAAATCCCAACAGAAAAGACCGCTACATTCTCCAGAAGATCACCACGCTGAAAGATCTCAAGTATCTGAAGATCAGGTGACTACCTCTCGCTTTACCTTTGGGTATCAGCAGCTCCCCAAAAGAATCAAATTAGCATGTTCTCCTGTTCGCCTGGTTAAAAAAGCCGGAAAAATGTGGTTCCCAGGAATTGGGAGAGCTCAGAAGCAGCTGTCATTGCTTAAGGATTGTGTTGAGAAAAGCCGGAAGTACTCTGTCTTGGTTGTAGTGCTACATCCTTGTCATATCAAAGAAATCAAGACAGGAAGTAATTCATCCTCCAAAGTCCCTTTAGCCACAATTGTGGTTGCTGATCAATCAGAAGTGCGACAGAAGATTGTGTTGTGGAGAGCTGCTGCCTTTTTATCACTTACGGTCTTTCCTGGAGACATCGTACTGTGCACAGGTGAGTCCGTACAGCAGTTACATTTCCATCTGTAAGAGGGATATTTAAATATGCTTTATTGTTGTTAGTTGCGAAGTCATGACCGACCCATCGCGACCCCATGGACCACGTTCCTCCAGGCCTTCCTGTCCTCTACTATCTTCTGGAGTCCATTTAAGCTCACACCTGCTGCTTCAGTGACTCCATCTAGCCACCTCCTTCTCTGTCGTCCCTTTCTTCTATTGCCCTCCATCTTTCTCAGCATTAGGCTCTTCTCCAGTGAGTCCTTCCTTCTCATTAGGTGGCCAAAGTACTTGAGTTTCAACTTCAGGATTTATGCTGTTTAAAAAAAACCCAAGCCATAATCTTTTAAACATGGGCTTGAAATGTTTTGGTTGACATTGCTCTTTCGTGGTACCGTAGCATTGTGAGGTCAGATACAACCATGTCAATATATTTAGAAGATGGGATTATCCAGCCCCTGGAAAATGGTGTCCTTCACTATTGTTGCATTGATGGGGAGCTGATTATGTGCAGAACTGAGATCATACAAACAGACCCATTCCAGGTATGTTTCTGTTGACTTTCAAGATGCCTGCTAATATCTCTATATTTTTGAGACCTCTTCCGTAAGCGCAGGTTTTAAAAACAGTGGAAAATAAAATTATACCCAGAACAGCACAGAACTTGGGGAACAAAATGAGATATACGCCCATAGCTATATGGAAATCCACGAAACGTAGGTGGAATTACATTGTAATGTTTTTTCTTCCGCAGAAGCTGCCCCAGGCTCTTTGTGGTGCCATTTAGTTTTTGGGCATGTAACTATTTCATTCCCCGCTGTCCGTCAACAGTTCTCAGAATATTTTTATTTGCTACTTTTTTAAAAAAAATCTGCACTTACCGAAGAGGTCTTAAAACTAACTAGAATCTAGAGAGCAACTGAAAGTCAACAGAAATGTACATGGAATGGGTCTATTTCAGCGATGGCGAACCTTTTAGAGACCAAGTGTCCAAACTGCAACCCCAAACCCACTTATTTATCACAAAGTGCCAACACGGCAATTTAACCTGAATACTGAGGTTTTAGTTTACGAAAAAAAACAAAACAATTCATACGCTGCGGGCTGTCTCTTTGTTTCTTTCTTTACAATGTATCCTTTCCGCTACTCCTACATATTTACTCTTTGAACTGTCTCTCCCTTGATGTTACCTTGAGTTGAGAAAGGAACGTGCCTCCAGCCATCTGGCTTAACTCTCGTTTCGGAAGGGAAGGCGCAAAGACCCAACCACGTCTTCACAAGCATGGGAACGGACCCCGTTATCAGCTCCTTTCCCACAACGGACGTAACACCTGAGGATTGGCCCGTTCGAACTGACCGGATGAATTATTAGGCTGGGGTTTTGCTTGGGACTCTTTTAACCTATTGATGTGAGCGGGAAGCCCTTTCCATTGATTGATCTCCTTTTGTTTTTTTCCTCGCAGATGTCGTTGTCCGTGAGAACCGTTGGGTTGGAGAAATGACGCTACAGTCAACCTTTACCACCAAGCTGGTCAACCTTGGAAGCTGTTCAGCTGTTGATCGGAAGGAAGGTGAGGATGGACCAACGCCACGCAGAGGGATCTTGTCTCAAGGATAAGGTCACTATAATTTATACTCCCGTGTTCGTCAAGCCACTAATTTCTCGCAGCGTTTACTAGTAGAAATATATTTTCCCAAGTCTATTAAACGACATATGGATAGTCCTTGCCTTATAACCATTTGTTTAGTGACTGCTAGAAGTTCCAACAGCGCTGAAAAAAAAATGACTTACGACCATTTTTCACACTTTATGATCTTTGCAGCATCCCCAGAGTCACGTGATCAAAAATCAGACACTTGACAACCGGTTCATATCTATGATGGTTGCAGGGTCCCAGTGATCCCCTTTTGTGATGACAACAACAACAACAACAATAATAATAATAATAAAATTGGAAAGGACCTTGGAGGTCATCTAGTCCAAACCCCTGCTCAGGCAGGAAACCCTATACCATTTCAGACAAATGGCTGTCTAGACTCTTCTTAAAAACTTCCAGTGTTGGAAGATTCACCGCTTCTGGAGGCAAGTTGTTCCACTGGTTAATTGTTCTAACTGTCAGGAAGTTTCTCCTTAGTTCTAGGTTGCTTCTCTCCTTGATGAGTTTCCATCCGTTGCTTCTTGTCCTGTCTTCGGGCGCTTTGGAGGAGAGCTTGACTCCCTCTTCTTTGGGGCAGCCCCTGAGATATTGGAAGACTGCTATCATGTCCCCCCTCGTCCTTCTCTTCATTAAACTAGACATTTCCAATTCCAGCAGCCGTTCCTTATATGTTTCAGCCTCCAGTCCCTTAATCATCTTTGTTGCTCTTCTCTGTACTCTTTCTTGAATACGGGGGTGGTCTTCTGAAAACGGCTACTAAAACACGACCGATGTACTCGGATCCCTTCAAATTCAGTAATAATGAGAGGTTTCACGATCAAAATTACAGGCTGAAAGATCAGAAAACGCAGACAGAAAGGATAAGGCGTTGAAATCTAGTTCTTCAAGGACTCAACAGTAGAGGAAGTCCTAAGCTGACATTGATATCAAGTTCAGAGCAGAATAACAGAACAACAAGAGTTGGAAGGGACCTTGAAGGCCTTCAGTCCTCTGCTCAAGCAGGAAAATAGACGGTATTCCCTTGCTGATCGTGCTGCTTAAAATAATATCTGTTATCTCTGTTTAATAAAATGGTATCAGAGAAATAGGGCTAAGTTCTACTTTGCTAGTTGCTATGGTTCCGACAGATGAAACTCTTCAAAGAACTTTGAGGCATTGTTTACCTTAAAGAATCTTTATTGGAGTAGTATAGCTTTGGCACTACCATAGTTGAAGCCAAAATCTGAATTCTCCTCCCCTGAGCACACAGTATCAAAGCACAATTCCCTCCTCTAATTAATGGTCATAAATCACATTCTCCAATTAGTTTGAAATGCAGGCTTTCTCTCCAGTTCTTCAACCTGCCATTTCTTATCATCTCTTCTTTCAAAAGCCCTGAATTCACAAAATTGTTATGTCTAATCAACTCCCATCACATTCCTCCTCCTCCCCCAGTATCATCTCATTCTAAAAGTAAACCATAAGGAAGAATAAGGCTGCATCTCCATATGTTGTCAAAGCAAGAACAGCAGCGTTGACACTAGTAATGTTAGCAGCGTTGACACTAGTAATATTTGGGGGTAGCACCGCCCACGGAAGAAATAGGCAACTTCCGTAGCCAAAGGTGAGATCAATTATAACCTCTTTTATTTTCCAAGTCTCACATATAGTAGACAGTCGTCATCTCCAGGATTTGCTGACCTATGTTTCTGCAAAGCACGCCCCTCTTCAAACTGTCCCTCCAAGGCAAAGGCAGAGTCTGGACCAGGTTCCCCACGTGCTTCTAAATCAGCTGAAACCAGATACTTTGGTGCATGCAGTGTTGAGAATCGTCAACGTCACAGTGCTGACGGGTGAGTTGAGTCTCTCATCCTAGAACTTCTCGAAGCCCCCAAATTTGGTGTGTGGCATGGCAGTGGAAAGATGCATTAGAGCAGGGCTTTTCAACCAGTGGTACGGGTACCACCTGTGGTACATTGGCATCTGGCAGGTGGTATGCGACCATCCTAGAAAAATGGTAACGGGGGAGGGGAATGAACTGAACCAGTGGCAGCACCGCACAAGCCTGAGCGAGAGACGGCTGGAGTTGCAGGGCTGTCAGAATTCAGCGGAAGCACCAGGATCAGTGCTGCTTTCTGGCTGATTGGCGCTTCTTCGGGTCTGTCAGGGCTCAGTGGAAGCGCCAGGATCAGCACCAGGATCCAGCTGGAGCTCGGCGCTGATCCTGGCGCTTCTGCTGAGCCCAGAAGAGGCGCTAATCAGCTGGAATGTTGCAGCCTCTCCAGGGTCTTGTGATTTATGTTCAGATGCTTGGCAACTGATTCATATTTATGATGGTCACAGTGTCCCAGGGTCATTTGAAGTGACCAAAACCTGCTGCAACCACCCAGCAGACGGGGGGGGGGGGATAAAAACCAAACACCCCCCCCCCCCCCCCCCACTGCCAATCCTCAACAGAAATGCTCACAACAATGAAAACCTCAGACAGGAGGAAGAGTGTGGCCGGGCGGGCAGGCAGGTGTCTTGTTTGGCTGTGGCTTGGGAGGCACTTGTTCCGGGGCCGTTGTAACTTTGAATAGTCACTAAGTGAACTGTTGTAAGTCGAGGACAACCTGTACTTTATCACTTTTTCCTTTTTTTTATTTTGGTCATCAAGTTTTTGACCGAGGACTGGTGGTCCTCTGATGTTGCCATATCCTAAAAGTGGTACAATGGGTGAAAAGGTTGAAAAGCCCTGCGTTAGAGATGTGATGTAATTTCTTTTTTTTTTCCTGAATGCCTTCTCTGAGAAAAATACCAACCGAGCATCTGGGGTCCAGCTCTTTGTGAGGGAGATTGTCCCATCTTCCTGTTAAGCACGCAAATATCCTTTCCAGGTCTATCTCAAGGAGAAGAAGAGGAATAATAGCAGAGTAGCCTGCATCTGAACTCTTGTTGATAAGAAGGTCAGGAGTTGATTTGAGAGCAGCTGATGTTTCCGTCTTGGCCAAACAAGCTTAGATTCTTGAGTGGTTCATCTGATTTGACAACATCCTTTGCTGAGGATTGAAGTGATACTAGTGATACGAAGGAATTTGTGACTAGTGACATCCTTTATTAACATTAATAATTAACTTCCTAGATAACGTAAGGAGAGACATTTTGTTTTCATGAAATTATTGATTGTTTTTGGACCTTTTCATCTCTTGCTCGCCCTATTAACTTAAGTAATCTTCTTGCTTCTTGGTTCTAAATTGAGAGCCTTATAATAATGCAGAGTTTCTGCCAGGCCTAAAGAAAAGGTATTAGTTACCAGTTAAATAGACTGGGAGCCTAATTATAAACATTCACTGGAATCCTTAACGTTGAAATTTGGTTGTTTTGAAAACGTAGCGTCGAGAACCTATTAATGAATTTTAAGGGAGTATAGCTACCTCTTCCCTCTACCTATTAAAGAAATCCAAAATGCCACTGTCAAGAGCCTTGAATCTCGTTCCTTCAAACACCCTGTAGAAATTTTTTTTTTAACATGAAGGGAGTAATCAAAGCATTTTTTTTAAAATTTAATATGAAGTCTTCGGGTGTAAGGGAAGGGTGTTGTGAATCGCAAACCTATTAATCTGAAATCGTTCTTCGTGCTCTTGTGCTCTGAATAAAGTTATAGTAGTACCGTGGTATTCAGCAAAACTGGTTGAATTTGATACTCGACGCATTTGGATGTGAAAATGTTGTCCCGATACTCGTACTTTCTTTAGTACCCAGCATGCTGGAAAAAGAAGAGGGGAACAGCCATAGAGAGCGGGCAGGAAGAAGCCATGCTGGAAAGGTCACTGACATAGGAAAAGTGGGACAACTACAGAGGACGGACAGGAAGTTGGCCAGAGTTGCTAATGTAGGAAGAGGGGGATGACCACAAAGAGCGAACAGGAAGTTGGCCATACTGAAACAGTTGCTTCAAAAAGAAGAGGGGAACAGCCATAGAGCGCTGACAGGAAGAAGCCATGCTGGGAAGGTCACTCACATAGGAAAAAGGACAGATAGAAAAATTTTTCCTTGCCAAGACAAAGAGTCACGTGGTAAATCACCTGGTTTGCTTGGCACTCATAGTTTTTAGGACCCGTCATGCCTCCCAGAACCAAGTAACATTGAGTACCGAGGAAGCACTGTACAGTCCAGGGGTAGGCAACCTTGGCTCTTTTATGACTGGTGGACTTCAACTCCCAGAATTCCTGAGCCAGCCATGCTGAGGGGAAAGGGAGAGGTTTCCAAGCTGAGCCATGCTGGCTCGGGAATTCTGGGAGTTGAAGTCCACGAGTCATAAAAGAGCCAAGTTGCCTACCCCTGTGGTAGGCCCATCATTGGTGAGGTCCTTGAGCTAATTCAGCTCTCTGTGCATTGCCCCTGGACCGCCTGTTTGTACAGACCCTTGATCTTCAACCACAACTCCTTGCCCACCATCTGGGGCAGGGGTAGGCAACCTTGGCTCTTTTATGACTCGTGGACTTCAACTCCCAGAATTCCTGAGCCAGCATGGTTCAGCTTAGAAACCTCTCCTTTTCCCCCTCAGTGTGGCTGGCTCAGGAATTCTGGGAGTTGAAGTCCACGAGTCATAAAAGAGCCAAGGTGGCCTACCCCTGGTATAGTCAAACCAAGTTCCCAGTGACAAGACTGGCTAGTCCTTAACCAGGAAAGAGGGGCAGCTGACCTCAGCCCAGAAGGAAGCAAGCCATATTTATTATTCCAGTTTTTCAACCTTAGACTCGGTGTACAGTTTTAAAGAAGAAAAACAAAGAAAAATCATCTTAACGGTGGAACAAATCAAGGGTCAACCTTACGCCCTGGTCGTCTGGGGAGATACAGCAGCCCAGTGTCTTCAGCTTCAAAGGAAGAAAGGTAAAAACAGTCCTTCAACATTTTAAAATAATTTTAGGCATGCAGGCCCGGCAAGAAACAAGTAATACAAGACAACCCTCCTCTGTTTTAACGTGAATCAGCTTTTCACTATGAGACTGATCAAAGGAAGGAAGAGGCAGGCACACCAGATGGTCAAAAGTTCATTTGGAAACAACTCCCAAAATTTTAAACAATGACTCTCCTAGCTGGGATTTTATTTCAGTTTTTATTACTTAGTTCTTTTGTTTCATTAACATCACCACGGCCACCCATTCCAACAGACTCTGTATTCTTAGGTTCATGCCTGTAGATCCAAGAGGTAGCCAAGGTTGAGATACATTGGTCTAGGCCAGTGTTTCCCAAACTTGACAATTTTAAGGCATGTGGACTTCAACTCCCAGAATTCCACAGCCAGCATTGGGAGTTGAAGTCCACATGCCTTAAAATTGTCAAGTTTGGGAAACACTGGTCTAGGCCAGGGGTAGGCCACCTTGGCTCTTTTATGACTCGTGGACTTCAGCTCTCAGAATTCCTGAGCCAGCATGGCTCAGCTTGGAAACCTGTCCCTCTCCCCTCAGCAGGGCTGGCTCAGGAATTCTGGGAGTTGAAGTCCACGAGTCACAAAAGAGTCAGGGTTGCCTACCCCTGGTCTAGGCCAGAAGTCTTCAAACGTGGCAACTTTAAGACTTGTGGACTTCAACTTCCAGCACAAGGAAGTCATAAAGTTTATTTATTTATTTATTTATGAGACTTATATACCGCTTTAAGTGCAAACGCTCTCTAAGCGGTGTACACCAGTCAGCAATGTATATATATATATTTACATTGCCCCCAACAATCTGGGTCCTCATTTTACCTAGCCCGGAAGGATGGGAGGCTGAGTCAACCTTGAGCCGGTGAGATTTGAACCGCTGACCTGCTGAACACAGTCAGCTAAAGTGGCCTGCAGTACTGCACTCTTAACTGCTGCGCCACCTCGGCTCATAAAGTTGCCCAGTTTGGAGATCCCTGCTCTAGGCCAGTGATGGCGGGCCTTTTAGAGATCGAGTGCCCGACCCTTGGCCCGCCCCTGATCTGCCTCCCGCTCCGCCCTCCCATAGGGCCACTCATCACAGATTGCCGAGGCAGTCTTGCAGCACCATGGCGGCCACGCCTTCCGCCTGCACCCCGCAGCATCATCTGCACATGATGGGGCGCAAGGGCGGAGTCTTGCCCCTGCTGCCCAGCTGCCATGTGTTTGGCTGCGCTGCTCTGCGTGGGCTATGTCTGGGGGAGCCTCTCCTCCAAGCAGGCTGCTGGTGAGGAGGGGGTTGCAAGGGGAGGCGGGCCTGGGGCAACAGCATGTGTGCCCACAGAGAGAGTTCCGAGTGCCACCTCTGGCCCGCGTGCCATAGGTTCCCCACCACTGCTCTAGACCCTTCATTCGGACCGGGAGCCATCATACTGCTTCTTCCACACCTTTGGTCATTCCACACAAAAAGAGATTGCCCCAAACTGTATAGAATAGTGTACTATTGTTTAAAATAATGTTTTAAGACGGGGTAAGTTTTTTTTTTTTATTGAAGAGTTTTATAAAGGTTACAATATAAACCCCAAAACCAACCCACCCTAAACCCCTCTCCCTCTCCCACTTCCCAGAGCTGAGTACAGGGTTACAATTATAATAATCATAATCTAACTAACATTAACCAGCTATATAAATAACCAAGTCCATAGTGCGCTTTAACGTGCCTTTAGCACAGCGGTTCTCAACCTATGGGTCGCGACCCCATTTGGGGTCGAACGACCATTTTACGGGGGTCTCCAAACAACGCGATCCGCCATTTTTCCCCCTCGGGGTGGCGACGCGTGTGCGCAACACGCATGGGGGCGGCGACGCGTGTGTGCGACACGATGGGGGTGGCGACGCGCATGTGCGACGCATGGGGGCGTCGATGCGCATGTGTGACGCGCATGGGATGGCGACGCGCATGTGCGGCGCGCCGTGCATGCGCGACGTGTCCGTGTGACGTGGGTCGCGTCACACAAAGGTTGAGAACTGCTGCTTTAGCATAAATATAAACAAATTAAAAGTAGTACTAATAAAAACAGAAACAAACATAATATCTTAGTTATTAAGATAGTTATTAAACAATACAATATCCAAATTATTAAACAATACTAATACTAAGAATAATAATAATATCATATAATTAAAACTAAAAATTCCACTATAATAAGCTATTAATAATAATATTCTAAAATTTACTCATAAACTAAGTGGAACTTTTTTAGACGGGATAAGTTTTTGAGCCAATTGGTGCAGCGATTAAGGCACCAGATTGGAGATGGTTAGCTGAAGTCCTACCTTAGGCGCAAAGTCACTTGGCTTCCGTTGGGCCAGATACTTCTTCTCAGACCTAGCAAGGAGGCAAATGGCAAACCACTTCTGAAAAATCTTGCCAAGAAAACCACCAGGGCTCTTTCAGGCAGTCAGTCTCCTAGTGTCAGACATGATTGAAAAGGGGGGGAAAAATGGATTCTGAAGCTGACCTCTCCTTTATCATCCATTATTTTATCTCCGAAAGAAGCATAGAATGTTTTGTCCAAAGCTTCGGCGATACAAATGTTTTTCCTCTTCCTCTTCCTAGCTCATATTTGGGAATTTAAGTATCTCTTTGTAAAACACCACCCCGTCTCTGGTGACTTGGAATTGCACACGACGCCTTGGTCGGTCCTAGAGTGCCTTTTTGACGACGATAAAAGAGCACTGGCCTTCCGAGAGACGTTTGGAAGGAACGTCCAAGAGTTGATGAAGACGACCACTTTGGCTTCCCATCTAGAGGAAAAACGTTCTGGTGAGATCCTTGTTACCTCCTTCAGATTGAAGACACCCTGTGTCTTAATATAACTCTTGTACTTGAATACTTTACATGGGCTAAGCGTGATCAGACATATGATGAGTTTGTCTCTTTTTCAATTCCAAAGACCAAAACCAGGCTCAGAACTCTTTGGGAAAGTTCATAACTGACAGAGAACTGCAGAGATGGGATGGGTCCTCAAGAACATCATCCTCTGTGCTCTGACTTGACACAGCAAGGATATAATCAAGAATTAGCTCTTAAATAATAATAATAACACCACCAACAACAATAATAATAATAAAGTTGGAAGGGACCTTAGAGGTCGTCTAGTCCAACCCCCTGCTCAAGCAGGAAACCCTATACCATTTTGGACAAATGGCTGTCCAGTCTCTTCTTAAAAACTTCCAGTGTTGGAGCATTCACCGCTTCTGGAGGCAGGTTGTTCCACTGGTTAATTGTTCTAATTGTCAGGAAGTTTCTCCTTAGTTCTAGGTTGCTTCTCTCCTTGATTAGTTTCCATCCGTTGCTTCTTGTCCTATCTTCAGGCGCTTTGGAGAATAGCTTGACTCCCTCTTCTTTGGGGCAGCCCCTGAGATACTGGAAGACTGCTATCATGTCCCCCCTCGTCCATTAAACTAGACATACCCAATTCCAGCAACCGTTCCTTATATGTTTTAGCCTCCAGTCCCCTAATCCTCTTTGTTGCTCTTCTCTGTACTCTTTCTAGAGTCTCAACATCTTTTTTACATTGTGGTGACCAAAACTGGATACAGTATTCCAAGTGTGGCCTTACCAAGGCCTTGTAAAGTGGTATTAACACATGAGCATAAGTCCCACATGGTTTTCCTTTGAGTTTGTACAGACAAGCAGCTAACATTGATCTTAAACTTCACTGTACTACAAATCACATCAATACAGATACTATTCATTTTAGTTATGTAGTCCTTGATTTACAACAGGTGGCTTAGCAACTTACCACCCGATCTGAATTTCTAATGCGCTCTCTCTCTCTCTCTCTCTCTCTCTCTCTCTCTCTCTCTCTCTCTCTCTCTCTCTCTCTCTCTCTCTCTCTCTCTCAGACACACACACACACACACACACACACACACACACAACGTGCAGTCTCATATAACTACAATTTGAATCCTCAGCAACAGGGTAGCATTTAAGGCATTGGCAGTGACCCACAATCACACGATTGCATTTTACGAGGGTTTTGCTGAAAAATTGGCCACTAACTTCTGGCTTGCAGCCAAGCTGCGCTTTTTTTGTTCGCCTTAACGGCTGCGGCATTCATTTTACGACTGCCAGCAAAAAGGTTGCTGAATCAGGTTGGATCACATGACTGTCCCCTTTTACGACTCGTGGGCAGGCTGCATTACGGCCGTAACCCGAGGACTTCCTATGCAATTTTACTTGTCAATGGGAATAAAATGCAAAACAGGAAAAAAAAACATACATTCAACCGTAACAACAACAATGTGTATCCAAAAAAAAGTGACCCAAACATCCAACATTAAACGTTATTAAAAAAAACAAAAAACATTCTGGGCTGGATGCTGAAAACAAAAATAAAAAAACTACCGTACTTTCCGGAGTTTAAGACGACTCGGCATATAAGACGGCCCCCGACTTCGGAGAAGATTTGCATGGTTTAGAAAGTCATCTTATACGCCGGAAAATACGGTAATAAATTCCCCTCCCTTTTACATAATGGGTCTGGAGATAGTTATAAGCTTTCTCCTCCTTATTTAACCAGAAAAATGTATTCTATAAACAGATTTTTCATTCTTTTCCTAGGAATAATCGAAGTCAAGGGCTGCGTTTCAAAGCTGAGCTTCACGGATGCTTCTTTATCTTACGGACAGCTGGTCTTTGATGCTGGTACTTCCCTGGAGCACATATTCGCTTCTCTTCCTCTGATCACCTACAAGGGGTGTGCAAAATGCGGCCGTGAACTACAGACAGACAACAACGCGATCTACCAACAGTGCCCTACTTGCTTACCTTGGAACAAAGTCAAAATCTTCTACAGGTAAGCAAAACAAAAAACAAAAAAAAGCGGAAGACGAAAAACTAAAGTTGCCAGCAGCTTCCTGTTTAACATTTTTGAACGTGCTCTGTAGCTGCGTCGCATATGATTTAAAGGAAGTCTAGCAAAAATAGCCCTGCCTTGAAGACTTGAGTAAATTACGTTCGCTACCTGAACGGACCGAACGGTTTGAAGGCTATTCTGTTGTTCTATGACTTTTGCTACTCTTAACGTTTCGTCGTCTTTTCATTTCTCTGGTTTTTTTTAACTGTTGCAAGCCGACTGGCGTAGCTCCGCGGCGAGGTAGGGGGCAAATAAATTTAACTGATCTGTAAATCATCCATGTAGATTTTATGAGTCGTTGAAATCCTAGCACACAGTTAACAAATGGGTGCTCATCTCCCTTGGAGACTGGGAAAGAAAGAGTAGTGTGAGGAGCTAATAGCAGAGCGACACCTTCCCAAGACCTTGATTTAACACTCACCCAATATTTTTCTCCTTCCATCCTCTCCAAAAAACACTCAAAAACTGGGAAGCCTTGACCACGCCTAGCTAGCTTGCAGATATCCTATTTAGGACCTCTCAATTATAACTTTCATTGGCCCGGTTCTGGGTCCTGAAATTAAAAAGCTTTAAGCTTACATTCTGGAACTCTTTGTGGGACACCTAGTTACTGTTCAAGCAAAATCTTTAGATATTATAGTAGCCAAAATTTTGGAAACCTTTTGGGAGAAGTGTATTTTTGAGGTTTGATGGCTAATAACACCACTTATTTGGGGGAATAATACCATAAAATTATATTTCAATGGAAAGATAATTTAATCAAGAATGTAATGCAACATAGCTTGTTCAATTATCTGTACTATATCCTATGAAACATTATAACCAAAGAACCAGAAAAAGGAAGCACAACTCGCTTAGGTTGATCTCAGGTAGCTTTCCTTCATCTGATGGTAGCCAATGAGCATGAGTGTTTAGAGAGCCAATCGGGTGTCATCTTGTTTTGGCAATGAGCCAATCAGATCACAGTAGGATTCAGTGATTGATGTCCTGTATTGAAGCTGAGAGGAGGACATTTGTCAGTGTGTTATGTGATCGCTATCAAGTTGGTTGGGATTTTTGGTGTTCTTTTATTTAGCGAGCTTGTAAAATGTAATAAAATTAAAGTCATGGTGCAAAGAGCTGACTGGTCACCCAGAAAGCGCTGTAAAACACTGTTATGAAGTGAACGGCTACAGTTATAAAGACATTAGAAGAAAAATGGGTGGAAACTTAACCAAAGGTGGCATTTCTGCTGTACACTGTTCCCAAAAGGTTTCTGCAATTTTGGCCACTACTGTACATTGAGATTTTTCTTTGCGTGTCTCAGCGTCAGAAGAACACGCGCCAGTATCTCCGGCGGCCAGCTTGAAATGGAGACTTTTCAAAAAGTTGAAACAGCTGCTCTTTGAAAAAGCAGAGATTACATCCAGTTTTTCAACTCTTTTTAGTCTGTTAAGAAGAGGCACTTCTGGTGGACTGACACCAGAGGGCAGTAAAGAACAATTTATGGAGAGAACAGACTTTCTTCCAGTTGCATCTGACTTTCATAAAAAAAAAAAAAAAAACGATAATAGGAATTCGAGGAATCCGTTTGTGGTCTTACTCTCAAAAGCAGAGATGCCAAGATGCCCTCCCCTTATTCTGATCGCAAAGTTTTTGCTTTGGCTGTCCTCACGTAACAGTGTCAAGGATCCTCACCAGTACAATTTGGGAGGACAGACCTGGATGTCTGAATAAGAGAAACACTCAATTACATTTAGACACACACCCCCGTCCACCCCTTGGATTTCTGCTTCAAAATACTTCATTTATTTGTGGGTTTTAGATTCACTTGAGTAGCTTGAGAAGGTAATAATAATAAAAATAAAAATAAAGTTGGAAGGGACTTTGAAGGTCATCTATACCATTTCAGACAAATGGCCATCCAGTCTCTTCTTAAAAACTTCCATTGTTGGAGCATTCACAGCTTCTGGAGGCAGGTTGTTCCACTGGTTAATTGTTCTCACTGTCAGGAAGTTTCTCCTTAGTTCTAGGTTGCTTCTCTCCTTGATTAGCTTCCATCCGTTGCTTCTTGTCCTGCCCTCAGGTGCTTTGGAGAATAGCTTGACTCCCTCTTCTCTGGGGCAGCCCCTGAGATACTGGAAGATTGCTATCATGTCCCCCTCGTCCTTCTCTTCATTAAACCAGACAGACCCAATTCCAGCAACCGTTCCTTATATGTTTTAGTCTCCAGTCCCCTGATCATCTTTGTTGCTCTTCTCTGGACTCTTTCTAGAGTCTCAACATCCTTTTTACATCGTGGCAACCAAAATTGAATGCAGGATTCCAAGTGTGGCCTTACCAAGGCATTGTAAAGTGGTATTAAGGTAGCTTAGGGCCATCCTCTCTGCTTTTATTCACCTTCAGAAAAATAATACCGATGCTGTTTTGAGTATGCTACTAGGGGAATATTTCTAGTCCCGGCCGTTTGGTCCATGTGATTTTGACCTGAGGATCGTTCTTTTAAACTCCCCTGCTTCTTCATGGTTGCCAAAGTCAGATGGGCTTGAATGCATCTCAACGTACGACCATAACTGATCCCAAAAGTTTGACCACGTGACCCTGGGGATGTCATCCACGTGAAAAATAAGTCATTTTTCTTTTCCAGTGCTGTTGCGACTTTGAACAGTCGCCAAATGACAGGTTGCGAGTTGAGCTGCATGCTGAATTGGGAGTCCACTGCACCAAGCTAAATTTGGATATTGTGTTTTTTTGTTTTTTGTTTTACTCGCTATCCCCGTTTTGCAGGCAGGCAGCCGTGAGTCAAACAGCGCCGCGGTTGTTGGTGGATAACGCAACAAGGTGGATAATTATGATTGTTAATAATGTTTGCCTGGCAGGTTTCTGCCCTTGGTGTGTGCTAAGGCGCTTTGGACTTCACAAAGACGGTGAAGGTTGGCGAGATTGTTTCCGGCAGCCTTATCGGCTCCTGATAAGGCTGTAATTGGCCCCTGTTCTGATGTATCAATAATTTAGCTCGATGCGAAACCGGGCAAGCTGGCTGCTTTCGCTTTGAAATTGCCACTTAATTGTTTCTGATTATAAGAAGTGTTCGTTGAAGACTGGAAGGTCAGCTCGGTGGGCAGCGTCCTTCTGCTCACCCGTAATTGCTTCCGTGCGGAGACCCACTTGTGGTTAGGTACCATTCTGGACTTCAAAGTAGGGAAAAAATGTCCTTGAGTTAAGCAGGCACGGGGGAAGGCGTGTAGCGGCCAGGATATCTTTCCACATTGAGTAATAGCCGCAATAGCTCACCTTGCTATCTATTTAATTTACAAACAGGTACAGCTAGGCCTTGACTCACAACCGTTCCTTCAGTAGCCATTCAAGGTGACAAACGTAACATAAAAAAACTGACTTATGACCAGGGGGGACATGATAGCAGTCTTCCAGTATCTCAGGGGCTGCCCCAAAGAAGAGGGAGTCAAGCTAGTCTCCAAAGCACCTGAAAGCAGGTAAGTAAGGTTCTACATTTAGGCAAGAGAAACCAAATACACAGGCATAGTATAGGGGATACCTTGCTCAGTAGTAGTAACTGTGAGAGGGATCTCAGAGTCCTAGTGGACAATCACTTAAATATGAGCCAGCCATGTGCCAAAAAAGCCAACACAGTGCTAGGCTGCATTAACAGAGGGATAGAATCAAGATCACGTGAAGTATTAATACCACTTTACAATGCCTTGGTAAGGCCACACTTGGAATATTGCATCCAGTTTTGGTCATCACGATGTAAAAAAGGTGTTGAGACTCTAGAAAGAGTGCAGAGAAGAGCAACAAAGATGATTAGGGGACTGGAGACTAAAACATATAAAACATATAAAGAACGGTTGCTGGAATTGGGTAAGTCTAGTTTAATGAAGAGAAGGACGAGGGGGGACATGATAGCCATGTTCCAGTATCTCAGGGGCTGCCCCAAAGAAGAGGGAGTCAAGCTATTCTCCAAAGCACCTGAAAGCAGGAGAAGAAGCAACGGATGGAAACTAACCAAGGAGAGAAGCAACCTAGAACTAAGGAGAAACTTCCTGACAGTGAGAACAATTAACCAGTGGAACAACCTGCCTCCAAAAGCGGTGAATGCTCCAACACTGGAAGTTTTTAAGAAGAAACTGGACAGCCATTTGTCCGAAATGGTACAGGTCAGGATAGGCAACCTGGGCTCTTTTATGACTCGTGGACTTCAACTCCCAGAATTCCTGAGCCAGCATGGGGGAACTGTGGCCTCTTCGTGACTTGCGGACTTCAACTCCCAGAATTTCTGAGCCAGCATGGCTCAGCTTGGAAACCTCTCCATTTCCCCTCAGCATGGCTGTCTCAGGAATTCTGGGAGTTGAAGTCCACAAGTCATAAAAGACCCAAGGTTGCCTACCCCTGGTATAGGGTTACAGGGGCTTGGACTAGATGACCTCCAAGGTCCCTTCCAACTTTATTATGATGATGATTATGATGATGATTATGATTCACACTTACGACTGTTGCAGCATCCCCGCACTCCCGCGACTTACATTCAGACACTTGACGACTGACTCCCACTTAGGATGGTCGCAGTGTCCCGGAGGGGGGGGGTCACGTGATCCCCGTTTGCGTCCTTCCAATAGGCAAGATCAGTGGGGGAAGCCAGGTTCACACAATAACCGGGTTACCTCACTTACCAACGGCCTGATTCACTTAAGCCCTGTGGCAAGAAAGGTCGTAAAATGAGGCAAAACCCCGCTTAACGAACGCCTCGCTTAGCAACAGGAGTTCTGCGCTCCGTTGTGGTTGTCGGTCGGGGATGGCCTGGTTTCCGTTTCCTGGTCCGTGCTGATTACAGAAGTCTGGGTGTCGAAATCCAGGCGTCTTCAAAGCTGGCCAGGTCGAGAAACGCCGATTAAGAGGGAGAATTAAGCAACTTTCGAATGCGTTTGCTGGCAGTCGATGCCTTG